GAGCAAATAAATTAAATAGACAATTCAGAAAAAAGAAGAAATAAAAATGGCAAAAACAAAAAACAAACCAACTTCAAGTCATGTTCAACCACTGCTTTAGATTCCCTCTCATCCATGTCAGAATGGCTAGCATTGGCCATATGAAGACCCACAATACTGGGGGGGTGGAGTAAAGAGGAGAAACTCTTAGACACTGCTGGTGGGAATGTGTGATAAATGGTGAAGCCATAGTGGAACTCTCCGTAGAAGTTCTTCTCAAGAGTAGAGCATGAAACATTGCCCAGATACACCACTGGGTACCTTCTCAAAGGACTCCACATCAGTGCAACACAGAGATGCTCATCGATGCTTAATGCCATACCATTCACAATGTCTAAGAACTGGAACCAGCTTATGTGCCCACCAGTGAATGAGTAGATAAAGAACAGGTGGTAGATATACACAATGGAGTTTTATTTAGATGAAAAGAAAAACAAAGTCATGACAGTTGAAGGAAAATGAATGCATCTGGTATCATTATATTAAACAAAATAAGACAGACTGAGAAAGACAAATACCATGCTTTTTTCTCATGTATAGAATCTGGGTCTGAATTATACACATGATAATAACCACACACAAATAGAAGAAGAGTTGAAGGGAGGAGATAAAGACGTTTGATACCCTGAATAAAAAGGACAAATTCTTTGAAAAATGCAATCTGCCTAAACTCAAAGAAGGAATATTTGAATTTGAATATATCTCTGTCTATTAGACAAGTTGAAATAATAACTAATGGCATTCCAAAAATGAAAGCAGAAAGCCTATACAATTTAGACTTAATGCTACCAAGTTTTTAAGGAAGAAAACTTATCAATTTTCTATACTCTCCAAGACGACAGAAGCTTTGAGAATATTTTAGAGCTAACAAGACTGCATTAGTGCCCCAAGACTGAAACTAGACAAAGACGCAAGGAAACTACCAATAAATATATCTTATGCATATAGAAACAAAAATCCACAATATTTTAGCAGATAAAGATTGTATAAAATAATTATTGTCCTGTAAATCAACACACAGCTAGAAATTAGGTATTATTCCTTGCCAATAAGCTATCAAGTCATAAAAGACATGAATAAAACTTAAATGCATTAACAGAATGAAGCCAAAATTTAAAAAGGCTGTATATATTTTATATTATTCCACTCTTACGACAATAAAAATACTGGTAATTATCAGCACCTAGCATAGAGGGAGGGAATAGGTAGAACAAAGTAAAACATTTTGGGCTATTAACTCTGTAAGACATTATAATTGTAGATACATGCTATCATACATTTGGCAAAGTCTACAGAATGTCCTAGAACCTGTGATGAACCCTCCTGTGAAGTATGGGCTTTAGTGATGATTTACTAGTGTGGGTTCACTGCAAGGAATATGCCACTGTGGTGTGGGGGTGTATTGACAGCGGAAAGCATGAACCCTCATCAGGGCAGAGGGTGGCTAGGGAACCTCTGTATCTTCCTTCCAATCTTGCTATGGATTGCTTTCAAAAACACAGAGTATCTTAATAAAAAATAGAAGTAAATACTCCTGAATCACATCTGTTTGGAGTGGGCTCACATTCCTTCTAGGACCCTGGCTAATACAAGCAGCCAATTTTTGGCTTCCCTCCTTCCCTGGGCCACTGATTGCTAGTCACAGGGCCTACAGGAATGTTCACAGTGTGCCTCTACTGGACTGTGAACCTACTGGAATTACTCTGCCTGGCCACAGGTGCCTTCTAACTTACTTTCAGTGAATTTGTCTGAAATAGAATCTACCTATCATACTTTCAAGGTCTATTGATTACCCTTTTCTTCACTAGAAATGGACAAGCTGTCCCCTAGAGTTCTATCCATCACAACATGAAAATGTATTTTTCACTTGACTCCTAGGCTGCTCCTGCTCACCTTCTGGGAGACATCCCACTTTTCCTGTCTGTGATTAAGCTTCCAACTTGTCTCTTGGTTCTTCTGTGGGACTTCCTGCAGCACACAACCAGGATTCTCCTCTCTGCTGGACCCATATTGTTTTCGGTTCATGAAGTCTCGTATGTCCTAAGTTGTTTCTTCTAGAATGTATTCTTATTACACTTTACTGTCAGTTTCTCCAAGGGAAATCTAAATGTGCAGAACTCTTCTTCATTTATATTGTATTAGTCTCTTGAAAGTAAGAAGGCATAGTTATCCTGCTCAGCTGTGCTCCTGCATTTCACTATATTCTGTTTTTCTGGATCCTTTAACTCTATTGTTTCTTCTCTTTGAAATGCTTTTCTCTGTAGTTTTCATGACATCTGACTTCTTCCTGTCTTCACTGTCATCACACCTGGTCAACAGCACCATCATCACAGTGAATACAGAGAAGAAACTTAAGAAATGTCAAGGGGTTAAAGTGATGTAATTCAGTGATGTAACTGATACGGGATGAGAGATGGAGATTTCTGGTGTTTACAGTTACATGGATGGTCAATGAGGTAGGAAAAACTGAAGGAGTTTCAGGTTTTTTAAGGAGTGACCATGCTTTGCTTCTGGATATTTTAGGCTTAAAAACTCTTGAGACACCTGTGTCTATCATAGTCATGCCCTCCCCTGACCTAGTTTCCTTGGCATCTACTCTTGAATACTCTAGCCCTCATCTGTCTGTACAGATCACCACTGTAACCCAGATGATCACTAGGGAACATGCTCCACACATGCTGTTCTTTCAGAACTATCAGTCACCACCATTCACCCTCACAATACAAAAACTCTTCCACAGGTTGTTGGAATCCAATTCCAACTTAAACCTAGGTATGATACCTTAATACCCTTTTCAGTTTACGAGAATGGAATCAATCATCCTCTCCTTGTCATTTCCATAACGATTATGTATTGTTTCTGTTTTGGTTCTTGCTATATGCCTTGTGTGGTTTTATTTGTGTTTATATAGTTCATACAATTCAACCTCACTGAGTAGAACAACACTTAGTTAAATGCTTCAACATAATGAGGTATCAACAAATATGAATTGGGTTGAACTACACTTTTGGAATTATTTTCAAACAACATACATAAGATAAGATTTTTCATGTAAACTTTGAAAAAACATAATTTGATTTTCATACAGTTCTGTTATATGGCACTTGGCATGTAACCAAATCTGACAGATCAATGTATACATATTTTTATAATGACTTGATGCTGAAGACATGAAGTTGACCAGAACTATGAACAGTCATGGTTGAGGAGATAATCAATAATGAAGGAAAACTGAGATATTATAATAATCTTGTGAAAAACTAGGTATTCGTTTTTTCTCAATATATGTATTTATTTAAACTAGAAACATGCATGCTTCATATTTTTAAAATACTTTATTATAATTTATTGTTTGGAAGACCATTGCAGCCAGTTTATTTCATGTCAAAGGTAATGATGAAAATTCAAGCCACTATTTACCTTCTACATCTTTGAGTCCAAGGACAGCAATATGCTCAAAACTAGGCTTTCACTCTCTGGTAGAAATTATGAGCATATATCCAGTTAAATAAATGTGAGAACTTCACTTGTGTATTCTGTCAATTTTTCTAATGAATCCATGGGGTGGATGTATCTAGGCCTACCTAGGAAGGATAAGTAGAAACCTGGTCTGTTGAAGGATGCTCTGCCCACAGATGGGAAGTGATACTCAAAGTGCTACAATATTGTGAACGCCATGAGTTCCATGCCAGGAAAATTTTAAGTTTTTCTGTAGACAATTAGGCACCATCTGAGATTATTAGCCATCATAGTAACTATGTGTTGCCTAAGTTTCTGACAGCATCACAAATGATGTCTTCACCAGAAGGAAGACTGGGCCTCAGCCAGCTAAATATCGACCTCTCTGCTCTTCGCCAGCTGCTCCTTGCCATTCTCTAGCAACAATTTTTATGCTAAATGGACTCATAATAATAGATGAGAAGTCTAGAGACTATCTTCAGTTAAATGGATAATTAGATTTCTTTTTCCATTTGGTAAAAATATATATCAAAACAAATTAATCTTTTCAGATAATTGGGGTGATACCTGCTTGATTCAGCAAATGTGGAGAAAAACTATGCACAAATCCTGCCAGAGGAGTCATAAAGTAGCCTGAATAATTTCTTTCCTGTTGAGCAGGCCTATATCCATTAGCAACTGTTGGTTATCACAGATATATAAATGCCACTTTTGCACCCTCAGTCATACCTTGACATGCTAGCCATTTTTGTGGATTATGGGCATGACAGCTGGATAGGACTGTTGAGTGCTTTCCTTCGTTAGAAGCTTGTGTAAGACCTTCTGAATCTACAAACACACCACTGAGTTTGTTTTGTGATGGCATGTACTGCTGGGCACAGGATTTATCATTAAGGGTGGTCAATATACTCAATGAGACTCCATTGGAGAAGATTAATTTTTCCTTTGCTAACAGGTAACTATTTCAGATAGCTTCATGGTTAGGACTGGGAACCTTAGGATCAAAACTTAAATCAGTTTTCTGTATACTCATGTAATATTTCAATTTTTTGTAATGTGTATTCCTGTTAAAATTCGAAAATGACCATACGTCCACCAGTGACCTAACCCTAGGTAAAAAAAAATCAGACACCAAGTGAATTCAGTTGTCCCAAACTCATCACCCTATAATAGTTTCAACCACATATAAAAATGCCAGTGATACCTCAGATTTTTAACAAGTATGCATCCTTTCTTTCCCATCTCAAATGACTCAAGAAGAATTCACAATAGAAATGATGACCCGTCAGTCAGCTATAAGGCACTGTAAGTTTGCTATGTTGTATTTTCCTAATACAGAGGAGAAAACTAAAGATCAAATACATGATGGTATTTCCTGGTAAGCTTTCACCCAGTCTATAAACATCACGGAAGAGCTTTTCAGTCCCATGTGTATCTAAAACTTACTTCCTCACTGATCAGCAATAAATTCTTAAATCAGAAAAAATGTATTTTCTTTACAGACATGAACGTATTCATACCAAGAAAGGTAACTTAAATAGATCTCCCATTTCCATTGTGAAGGATGTAGATGACTTAGCAACGCTAGATGTTTTGGATGAGGTAAGAATTGAGTTTAATTAAATTTAAACATTCTAACATTATTTACAAAATTTACAATTGTTTATCATGTTTTATATGTATGAAGGTTTTGCCTGCTGTACGTCTGTGCACCATGTGCATGCCTGGTGCAGACATGGACAGAAGGAGGGGTCAGTTCCTCTGGAACTGGAATTATGGGTGGCTGTGAGTCGCCATGTGGGTACTGGGAGTTGAACCTATGTCCAATGTAAGAACAAGTGTTCAGTTTCTGATCCTTCCTTCTAGATTATTTTCCTATTTAAAGAACTGATGTGTAAAAAGGGTTCTTTAAATACCATCTGTAATATCATGCATGTTCTCTCCTCCCCCCATCGTGTGTGTGTGTATGTATGTGTGTGTGTGTGTGTGTGTGTGTGTGTGTGTGTGTGTGTGTGTGTGTTTCTTTCTGACTTTTTTTGTGGCAGGGTCTTTCTATGTAGCCCTGGCCGGCTGGCTTGGAAGTCACTATGTATCTTGGGCTGCCATCAAACTTGCTTCAATCCTTCTGCATCTGTCCCCTGCCATGTGCTGAGATTATAGACATTGAATCACAATGTCTGGCTCATGTCCTACCCACTGGCAACAAAAATAATGGCATTCAAGGAGAATCAGATTAAGAGTCCTTTAATACTGGCAGTCAAGAGCAGGTGCATGCCAAAGACTTGACCCTGAAGAGCAGCAGGGTCCCAGACCAAATGACATCATATCAGAGGTGGCCATGTGGTAGAACTTTCAAAAGCTGCTGTTAACAAAGGTCTCGAACATTCAGTTGATTAAAACAATGACTTACTAAGCCTGCAGGTACTGGTCAACCAGAAAGTTCTGTTGAGCTAGATGTGGTTAAACAGGCTGGGGAGAGGTCAGGAGAAGGGCACAAGTTGGAGTCAGCTAACGCAAAATAGAATTCCCTTGGTCAGTTTAGTTCATGCTTTGTCTCTTCTTATCTCTCCTATCTTTAAAACATCACATTTCCACTCCTTTCTTGTCTGTCATCATTGTTCTTGCTGCTCCTCATTCTTTTTTTAATTTTTAAAAATGTTTTATTAATTTATTTTTTACATTCCAATCCCAATTTATACTCCCTCATCTCCTCTGGATCCCCCACTACCCCCAGCTCCCATCTGCTCCATGGAAAGGTTAAGGCCTCCCTAGGAAGTCTGCTAAATCTGTCCTGTCATCTCATTGAGGCAGGACCAAGGCACCTGTCCACCCCCACATCCCTGTGTCTAGGCTGGGCAAGGCACCTCTCCATATAGAATGGGCTCCACTAAGTCAGTTTGTGCATTAGAGTTACACATTAGAGTTGAACCCACTGCCAGTAGCCTCATATAGCGTCCCAGTCATACCACTGTCACCTATGTTAAGGAAGTCTAGTTCGGTCTTATGCAGGTTCCCCCATTTGTCAGACTGGAGTCAGTGATCTCTCCTCATTCTTGTTGCCTCAGAACCATTTCAAATATTGCCACTGGCTCAGCCTGTCTCCTCACCCCTCATATTCCAGGCATATCTGGTCTCTGAGAAATAAATGGCTCCTCTGTCCTGTCTGGTCAATTCTCTGATTAAAACCTGAGCATTATGCTCAGAAATTCAACAAACCCAGAGACATTCTGAACAGAAACCTCTTCTGTACTTTGCATCTGGAATGTCCCTCTGAGGTTCAGTGTTAAATGCTTGGTCACCATCCTGTGCCACTGTTGGGAGACAGTGGAATTGTTAAGAGATTGAGAAGAAGTCTTAATCCTTGGCACCAATGTCCTCTCTGTGTGATATAAATAGCACGTGTTCCCGCCATGATGTATAGCTCCATCCAGGACCAAAATCAAATGACCGAATACCATCTCAAGCCTCCAAAACCATCCATTTCTCTTTATGAGTTGATGTATATCAAGTATTTGTGGGCAGGTGACTATTACAGTCATATAGTAAATTTAGGGTAAATAAACAACTTCCTCAGAGTAATCTCTCAGAATCATTACAGATCTTGAATTAAAATAGCATTTGTAAGGCAGAAATTGCTCTTGCCTTTCTGATCCTTTCCCACGGAATCTCCCAGTACTGTGAATACACCTAGGCATGTAAATTGTAAACATTTCACCAATCGCATTATTGACCAGTGTATTAATATAGTACATCTGTTGTCTAGGTTTTATATTTTTGTTCCTTTTTTACTTCAGATCTTTTGCTTTTATTTTGTGTTGTGGACGGCCCATGATGGTTGCAACACTGTTAAAATCAATTCATATAGTCATGTGATCAACCGGAAAAGTTACTTTCTGAATTTTTTACTTCGCACACCCTAAGCAGAAGACATAGCACCATTAAAACACCTCTAATTGGAATAAAACCATGCACATGCTCTCCTTTCTAGATTCTACTCTATCTCATTAGCTACACTTAAATTATTTCCTCAAGGTCTGCATAATATGCAATTTAACATAGTGTGTATAGATATACAACATAGAACTGACACATATACCCTTTGTAAAGTGCACTGGAGACTGTCATTTCCAGTGAGCATGGCAGTGCACACCCTTAACTCTCACATTCCAGAGGCAGAGACTGTAGGACCTCTGTGAGTTCCAGGTCAGCATAGTGAGACCCTATGTAAAAAAAAAAAAAAAAAAAAAAAAGATGTTTTCAAAATGATGTTCCCCTTTATCTCTCAAAACTAGGGCAATAACCTGTCAAGTTAAATGGTTTGCAAGCATGCTGGCATTTTGTTTGCTATTAACATGTCTTTCTAATCCTCAGTCAAAATTCAGATATTTTTATTATTTCCTGTTTCATTTTTAAAATGTAGGTAAACACAAATTATTTTATTTTCTCCTCCTCTCATTCTCCCAGACTCTTCTTATTTACCTTTGAACATTTGGGATCCTCTTGTCTCACCATCCTAAATGCTAGAACTCCAAGCTTGTGCTGCCGGATCTGACTTACAAAATTTTTTAAGAGAGAAATTGTTTTATTTTCTTTTGTTACAGAACACAGTGTCTGAGCACCTCGAGAAGTGTTATTCCAGAAATCAGATCTACATCTATGTGGGAGATATACTCATTGCACTTAACCCTTTTCAGAGTCTGGGTCTTTATTCCACAAAGGTATGAGTGGCTTGCCTTCCCTTTGTACAAATAACTCCAGTAGTGAGAGTCTTCATTTAAATGGATGCCAGCAAAAATATTACCCAGCACTTGAAGAAAACTGTTGCATATTCTCATTCAAACATAGGCATAGATGTAGGGAAGATATAGAATATCAATGTAGGTGCTGTTTGTGATTTTTTTTCCCCAGAAGTACACAAGAGATTATGAATTTCATGTAGTTTATCTACTGGCAGCCTATCCCTAAGTGATGTCTAAAAATGAGTATACTTAATTTCTGTTTCTGAATTGAGCATTGTAGAGTCAAAATATAGCTACATCGTTTATATATAAGATACATATGGCTGTAGCATTTGTCATTGTGAAATTTTGAATTCCTTTTAACATGTTAATTAGTTCATTGCTATCATACAATGTATGCTTTATGAGTGGAAGTATTTAATTATTAATTACTCAGCCACCAAAGCTTTAAATATAGAATTAGACAAGACTGTTTTCCATTTTTAATTGGACCTATTGTCCTTTGCTATCTGTGCACTCTAGAACATTATTTAATATACTGTGCCTAACTGCTCATTTATGCTAGTCTCAAATGTACAGCATAGTGACACATTTAACATGATATTTAAAAAAGTTGGGGTTAGTAAAATTCTGCTATTAATTAATTGTACAATTTTATACAAATCCAGAGATGATATAAATTAAATCAACGCATAGGGAAAAAAGTTCCAGATGTCAAACATTGCCATATCCAAGAAGTAGTCAACAAAATGACTTCTGATCCTATCATTTGTAAAGTTTTTTCATGTAAACAGATAATCATATTTTGAAGCCTTAAGATCTACTTTAGAAACAACATGCAGAATCATTTGAATGCCACCACTCTACCATGTCATGGTATATCCTATATATGGGCTGGCTCAAATATAGATATAGATAGATATAGATATGTATACACATACATACATACATACATACATGCATACATACATACATACATACATACATACATGGAAAGCATGTGTGGATAATGTGTTTTACATGGATAGATATTTTTTAATCATTTGCTTCCAAAACTAGAACCCTATATGTAAATAATCTACATATTAAATAAAAGCAGACACGACAAAAAAAGCTCTGTAAAATTTATTCACTTTAACTTCAGTTTTCTAAGTTGTATATTGGAGCAAAGAGAACTGCCCACCCACCTCACATTTTTGCGATGGCTGATCTGGGATACCAGTGTATGATCACATATAACTCAGACCAGGTAAGGCGGGCTTCCCACATCCCTTCCTTTGTTGAGAGCCACTGATTTTCCTGGGGGTGCAGCCCTCTCACAGATTCCTTCCCTTCCTGTGCAGTGTATTGTTATTTCTGGAGAGAGCGGTGCTGGGAAGACAGAGAGTGCTCATCTTCTGGTTCAACACCTCACTGTACTTGGAAAGGTAGAATTGTTTTATTTTCCTGTCCTAACAGAAGTATTTGTGTATTTCAAATAACTGGTCATATTAGTATTCACTAATTCTCATACTTTATAATATATGGAAATGATGAAACATAATTGTTAACATTTAAGTTTTAAAATATATCAAACAGTGGAGGAAGGGAGCTCAGTGGTTTAACAGAATTAGCTGCTCTTCCAGAGGACCCAGGTTCAATTCCCAGCATCCATGTATATCACAACCATCTGTAACTCCAGAACCAGGGGATCCAATGCCTGTATCTACCTCAAAGGTCACTGCACACACATGGTACATAGGCATACATGCAGGCAAAACACCTACAAATAAATAACTATGTTTTTAAATGCTTGTGCCCTGTTTTGAAGCTCCTCCAATTTTCCTCACTCTTAGGTCCCAAGCCTTTATGTGCCATTTTCTCTCTGTAGCCTCAGTAACAATGTTCAATTACAGATTAAAGTTCAATTATATCATGTACAAAGAACCAAAAAATAGGATCTATGTAGATTTAGATAATATAAAACCTACAAAGGATGAAAATGTAAGAAATAAATAACAGGTGGACATAACTAATAATTCCCAAAATGTTAACCCTCCATAAAAACATGTTCAGATTCAATGAGATTACAATAAAAAATCATAGAAGTGGGGGCTGCACAGTAAATTAATGTTATCATCATCATCAATTATTATTTGGCTTCTCCCCATTCACTTTGGCATGTCCACTGGTCATCCTTGTTCACCTCACATTTGGGCAGTCATGCTGGTGAGACTTCATGGGTATAGCTTCTGAGATTACTAGGAGACGCAATGTCACAGCAAACACCCTAATTCTCTGACTCTTGTAATCTTTCTGCTCCCTCTTCTGTAATGTTCCCTAAGCCTTAGGTGTGGGAGTGTTTTGTAGATATAACCACTGTTTTGCTTGTTTGTTGTTTTCTATAATGGTCTCCGTCTGTTGCAAAGAGAAGTTTCCTGGAGGAGGGGTGAGTACCACGCTTATCTGTGAGTGTAAAGACAAAAGTTTTTATAATGTTGTTAGGGATCATGCTGTTTTAGTAACTTAGTTGTTGCAGATTGTCCTCCAATGACAATGTCTTCGTTAGCACTGAAAAGTTAGTTTTCTAGTAGCAGGCATGGTTTGTCTTTTGTTGACTGGGTCTTCAGTCTAACCAGAAAGCTACCGATAGGTATTCCACTACTATACCCTTAAGTTTATCATGCCATGCTGGTCATTGGTGTGGTTTATAGACATCATGGCAGAGTAGGACTGTTGGTTACCTCCTTCCTTTAGAAGCTTGCATTGTGCCCTCTGATATCATGAGAGCTAGTCCTCAGAGAAGGGGAATTCAAGTCAGTTCCAGTTCAGAGGTCTCTGGACACTATTTCTCAAGTACATAATGTCCTCAGCAGTAGCAACTTACCTTGCACCTCTCGGGGAAACCAAGGACAACAATAGGCTGTATGTTTTGGGAGTCTCTTGGACAGCCCTGGCCAAAAACTAAAAAAAAACGAGCTTCTCATGTCTGGTACTGGACTTTTTGTAAGGTGGTTTTGGCTCTTGGAGGAAGTACCATCAGTCAAGCAGAGAAAAGTTTGTTAAAGCTATATATGTAATTATGTGTATTATAGATATTTCTATGGTAAATAGTTGATAGTATGATGTATTGTGGCTTTTCAGGCCTCCTTATTGTTCTTTTACTCACTTCCCTCCTTTTGTATTTACCTCCTTCCTCTCTAAAAAGACCCCCTTCCCCCATTTTTCTTATCATATTACTTGCATCCTGCTGTTCCCCTTAACCTCCTTCCACTTTTTCAGAAGTAGTTTTTAATAAAAATTACCATGCCAAGTCAAAGAAAAGTTGGTATGACAAGGCAAAGGAACTATAACAATGAAACATTTTTTTTAAATAGCAAGGTTGGAAGACTGTGTTCTTTGCTGTTACTGATGTACTACAAGGTTGTGGCAGTAAAGTGTGTTTTTAAGGAATGGTGACCGACAGACTCATGGATCAGACTGAATCTATGCAAGCTCATTTTATCAAAGATGGTTAGTCAATTCATAGAAAATTAATTTTCAACAAATAGTGTTGAAGAATTGCATGTGCCCTGCAAGCAAGTGAACATCAGTCTGGACTTCACATGCCATAGAAATTTAATGCAAAATAGTCACCAAGTATAAATGGAAAACCACAAACTATAAAACAAAATAGCAAAGTTTGTTGTGACCTTAAATTAATGAAAGATGTCTCAGGTACAACACAATGCATAATTCATAGCAGGAAGGCTTTGATTCCACCAAAATTCCATTTCTATTCTCTGATGCTATGTTAAAATTAAATTGAACACTGACATAAGCCTCATCCAAGAGAAAATGTTAGCAAATTACATAATTAATAAAGATACAGAAATATGAGAATGTCTTAAACTCAATGTTAAGAAATTCAATGACAAGAATAAAAAATGAATGGCCACCTCCAGAAGTGTCATATAGATGGCCACTAATGAAAAGTTGTTCAGTATCATTCCTCACCAGGAAAATGCAAACTAAGACATTAGATACATTAAAGTGCCTATTAATCTGGTTAAAATTGTTTTTAAGACTCAGAGAAGATGAAGCGTTGACAAGGACTTGGAGCCACTGGAATTCTCATCTGTTGTTAGTGACAGTGCAAAGTGGTGGCTGGTATCAGCAGGGGTACGACATCACAATCACTTTGGAAAATGGCTTTCATGCTTCTTAAACAGGGAAACTGCATTTTCCATGCAACCCAGTAATCCTGCCGATACCTATCAAGATAAAACCCATGTACATGCAAGTATTTATAGTGACTTTAGTAATAAGTTCAAAACTTACATGTTATAGGGCTATTGCCCCTCAGTGGTAAAGTTCTTGCCCGCGTATGTTAAGCCCTGGATTCTATCCCCAGTAACATAAGAAAACAAGACTTGTTGTCTGATACATAGCTAATGTCTTATTGACTGCTGTGAAGAGACACCATGATCATGGAAACTCTTATAAAGGAAATACTTAATTGAAGTGGCTAACTTATAGTTAGATGTTCAGTTCATTGTCATCATGACAGAGAGTACAGTGGTGTGCAGTCATGCTGCTGGAGTAATATCTGAGAGTCATACATCTTGCAGGTAACAGGAAGTCAACTGAAATACTGGGTAGTATCCTGAACATAGGAAACCTCAAAGCCCAACCGCAGGATGACACACTTCTTCTAACAAGGCCATACCTATTCCAACGAAGCCACACCTCCTACTAGTGCCACTCCCTATGAAATTATGGGGTCAATTACATTCAAACTACCACAGCTACTACATCTTATAATAGACTGAAGCCACATAGCCAAAAACAACTGACCACCTGAGCCCAACTTATTTTCAAAATTATGCATTGAAAGAATTCATGTTTCTGTTAAAATTCAGCAAACTTCCTTCATTATGCCCTGCCACATGTGTTAGTATAGAATATAAGTGAAGCTTTCTCCTGCCCTCTGTCCTCCATTCTTGTGACCCAGGCATGGTACTATCACGAAGCTCTCATGTGAGTCCCTTCCTGTCACCATTGCCATTAACTTCCTGCTACAATAAAGAACATTTTAAAGAATTTGGAGGACATTGAAATGAAATATAAAATGGAAAGAGGGACAGTGTGACTTCAACCTACTAAGATGTAAGCATGGGAATTAGTTGACACAAGTGCTGTCTGTCAGAGCCTGGCTAGCTTGTCTTGATTTCTGAGCTGATAGAGGTTTTCAGTACTGGATTAGATGTGTGTAGATGCAGCTTTGTAGATGTGAGCAAATTTGTTAATTTAATCTTTACCTTGCTCTAGATCTTAACATGTGGTTTGATGGTGTGTGTGTGTGTGTGTGTGTGTGTGTGTGTGTGTGTGTGTGTGTGTGTACTCAGAGCCAATTCTGCCCTTGTCTGCTCGATCTTGTTTTTTCCTTTTGTCCTTGATAAAGATTTCACAGATGCAAAATAGGATGTCTGGTGAATGGAATTTTCCTTTGCCTCTGGTCCTCACTTAGCAGGTCAAGGCCATTTAATATGGGTAGATGAAGATACTGTCTTGCCTTGTCATAGGTAGAAGCAAATCCAAAAAAAAAAAAAAAAGCAAATTTTGTCTCAGTGTCCAAGCTATCTCCTCTTGCCTCTTATTGCTTTTTTATACTTGAAAATCTCTGTGCAGCTTTTCAGCCTCATTGTGATATCTCCTTTCATCAACTCAGATCCAGTACCACCTGTGTTGTGATGAGTACTACTATTCTCCTTCAGCTGAAAAACTTCTACAACTTAACTCAGCTGGTCTCAGCAAGGTTCTAGGATTAGCAGTGAATATAATCTCTTTAAGTTAATTTCCACCAAGATACAGGTGACTTGTACCCCTAACCCTTTAAGGCAGTAGCAGTGAGATATTTGTATGGCTGGGGGTCACAACAACATGAGGGTTTGTATTATAGGGTCATATGAGGACCACTGCTCTAAGGGGACAGGATGTGGACATGTTTTTCTCAGAGATGGCATGAGATGAGTAGATGGGCAGTCAGGCAGGTTTGACCTAACTTGGAATTCCATTGTTCTTATCCACTCTGCTGAGCTATTCTGACTGTTTTATTCCCTCCACTTCTGAATTCACAAGATAGCGTTTTTCTCTTACTTTCATGCTTAGAAGCTTCTGTAAACATAGGAAAGTAGACTTGGCTTTGGATGGAATACAAATGTAGTCCCAGGCCACTATCTCTTTTTAAAGTGAGAAGGGGCATGTTGTGCAGACTGCCTATAGGATGTGTTTTCAGGCTGTGTCATACACAGAACTGTATGTAAGAAAACAAAATGTCTCTTCCCTGTTCCTAAGAAAGAAAGTGAATGCACGTTTGGAAGGAGGTTATGGGCCACAACGTAGTGTCTGGCAGTGTACCAAAAATATGCTCTTCTATGTCCTTGCTTTCATATAAAGTACTTACCAAAAAGAGACTAATTTTATGCTGATTTCTATATCTTGACATCTCTACATAGGCTAATAACAGAACCCTGCAAGAGAAGATTTTACAAGTGAACAATTTGGTTGAAGCCTTTGGCAATGCCTGCACCATTATAAATGACAATTCCAGCAGATTTGGAAAATATTTAGAAATGAAATTTACCTCTTCTGGAGCTGTAGTAGGAGCACAGATTTCTGAATACCTTCTAGAAAAATCCCGTGTCATTCACCAAGCAATGTAAGTGCATGCCAGATATACCTTAGTTTCTGAGTAATATGTGCAAGAACACTGTTACATAGCTAAAGCTCTTCCTAACTCTCCAGTTTATTGATAACCTACTGTGTGTAAGGCACCTACTATTGGAAATAATCAGGCCCTTTACCAGTGCTTTATTCTCATGTATATTCGCATCTGATAGAGCAACTAATAAATGACCTAATAATCACGCTACCACCAAGGAGATACTAACATAGTGGAAAAGGACAAGCAGGAAAATCTGTCTCCAGGCAAAAATCAATGAGCAATTTAATTAAAAGAGTGGATAGTACTTCTCTTTTAAATATACCTACTACCCTTTTTCTAAATAAACATTGATATTTCTATTTTTCTCTTCCTGTGTTTACAAAAAAAGAGCAAATAAAATATTGAGGGATGTTCAACTGTATGGCTATTTTTATTACTAGTTGATTTAAAGTTATCAATATGACTCATATTATTTTGACATCAAATTGAGTTCCTTTTGGCAGTTTGTAACTAAATGACAAAATCTCTTCCCTGTTTAATGACTCTAAAACATCCTTGCTATTCTTATGAGGGAATTATAGGTACCCGTTGGATTTGTACCCTAGTGGTTTTATTATCTTTTTTATTTTTATTTATTCTTCTCTCATACAACACATTATGACCACAGCTTCTCCACCCTCCACTCTAAGGGTAAAGTTAAAATTTCCCATGTCGATTTCATGTTAAACACTCCTGCATTATAGTAACATGTCAGCTAAATTTATAGGATCTTAAGCTATTGTTAGTACATCTTTGATGGTGCTAAGTATCAAATGCAAGGCCGAGTGTGCGCTAGGTGAGCTCTGTACCACTGGCCCACAACTCAAACCTGATAAATTTGGTTTTAAATACTGGACTGGGAATGGGTTAGTCTACCCAGAGTATGATGTTTAAGCCTTAAGATCTTCATAGGATCTTAACTCTGTAACATACTGTGTATGTGATTCAAAGTAGTTCAGTTAGCCTCTCTGCACCCCATGTTTTCAACTTTAAGGTAGAAAAATATTAGCACACCCCTCTCCATTAAAGTAATTCTTATTGTAGAGGATTTAGCATGGTGAATCATACCTAATAAGAATGCTGTCAGTGCAGCCAAGGACAGCTATGAGTGCAGCCCATCACAGAGTTGCAAATATCTTTAAAACACTATGAGGTATTTTACAGTTTCCATTTTGTAAGTTGATTGCATACCATGAACTTTGTAGATGACACTATTGTGTCACAATGTCAAAAGGTTTAGCATGCCTGAACGCCAGTAAAAGTTTTAATGGCCATGTTGATGGTTGCAAATATTAGCAATAGCATCTAGTAAACTGAAGATATTTAATGAATGGCAGACAGCATTATTGATTTGTGCCCAAGGCCCGGAATCATGTAAGCACACCATATGTGGAACTCTTTATTCTCTGAAAACAGTTTTAGCCTGTCCTTCAGTTGGGTGAAGAACTGTGTGAGAATAGCTTGCTGATATTTCAGTGCGGACACCATGCTACACAATGTCAAGGCACATCATTCCAGTATATTGTGTGGAACTATGGACCAGAAAATCACTCATCCTGAATACCATAAGACTAATACCTTCTGGAATTACACACTGAAGCCCTGGGTTTGTAACCATACAAATAGTCCCTTAATGATTACTAATATAATGTGTGTTCAAAAACAGCACAGTTAGGACAGTATTTAAGATATGCTGCATATTCAAAAAACTTTTTGTCTTGTAAATGATCTAAGAAACTATTTTAGTTTCACTAAATTACTTATATGGAAAAGCATTTAATGCCTCAATTTGCCATTAGGTTGAACTACAACTCAGATAAAATTGGAGCACCCTTTACTTTGTAATTTCTATAAAACAGCTTTTTCATTTTATGTTTATTTTTATGATCTTTTTGTCATTTCTTACTCTCTTAAGCATATGCTTACAATTTTATGCAAGTATATAACATTCCTTTATCAAAACCTCCCATTATCTCTTATCCCTTTCACTCTCACCAAAGTCTTTCTTCTTCCCATGTCCTTGTCTTGTGTGTGTATGTGTGAGACCCACTGTGTTTCAGGTTGCCTGCTTCAGGATGAACGGGAGTCATATGCTTAAGTGGGTGCAATGAACTAGCATCTACACCACTGAGGAATATGGCCGCCCCTCCCCCTCCATCCTATTAGTGTTTATAGACTTATGAACCCCTCTCCCATCCACTGATGGGCAGAACTTCTGCAGGTAGCCTCTTCTACTATGAGTTTCTGGATATAGCAGTCAGGTCATGTCCAGAAGATAGCACTTTCTATCTCCTGGCACTTGCATTTTTCTGTCTCTACTTCTATCTGTTGTCTGAGCATGGGTAGTCTATGTAGCTCATTTAGGATTGGGCACTCAATATTAACTTGTGCTAAGCATATGCACCAGTTGTGAGACTCTGCTCTGACCATCACTCACTGCAAATAGAAGTCTATCTGACCAAGGGTGGGAGTAATCTATGGGTATAAACAAATGTTTACAAGGTAGATTGACACCATATCCACTTTGTAGTAGTAGGTGCCTCCGCCCTCAGGGCCTTAGCTTCCTCCAGGCCTTTGGACATATACAATTAAATTTTATTCATCTATGAAGAAAATTATTATAGGTAATGGAATCCATGGGAAATGCACTAAGTGAGGTAACCCATACCTCAAGAGACAAACCTTATATCTTCTTCCTCATTTGCCAGTCCTGGCTGTGTACACCACACACTCAAGTTGAAATCAAGCTGAAACTGGGCTGTTATATTCCTTCCTAGTAGCTTCTTTCACAGTGCCAAAAAGTTCTATTAGATCACTTGAGGGAAAACTCATCAGCAGCTTTGCCTAGCAGTCAGCCCTTCAAACTACAATACCAACCTTTCAGATGAGATGCACTAATGGCATGATTGTCATGGTAGTAACCAACTGCTTTCTGTCTGAGTGTCTACAGAAACCAATTGCACCACTGTAGCCACCCAAATCTCCTCTGAATGAATTTCAGGCCCACTCTGCAGGAGTACCTAAAAAAAAATGCCCCATTGCACAGGAGGATTTCACACATAGTACCCCCCAAACTGGTTAAAACCTATATTTATTTCCATTTTAGTGTATTTGAATTGCATTATACATTCTAAGGAAACTTTTGTGACCTTTAAAACTTAGAAGAAGCATTCTTTCCAGATAGATTCTTTTCTTCTGCATATGTGGCATTTGTATGTGAGTATGTGGCAGCGCATAGTATGAGAAGTCAGCAAAGTATTTCATGTGTTATCCTTTATCATCCTCTGTCTTATTCCCTTAAGACAATGTCTTTTAACTGTAAGTTTGACATTTTGCCCAAGCAGGCTAGCCGGGTAGCTCCCAGGAACCACCTGTCCCTGTCCTTCAATGTTGGTATTCATACATGGGGAGCTTCTGATGTGGGTTCTGGGAATTCAAATTTAAATTCTCATGCCCACAAAGCAAGCACTCTTCCCCACTGAGCCACTACCCCAGCTCCAAGGGTACATTCTTTAAATTATGAATTTCACTGGACTATGACAATCATGATTATGAAGAAGAAAGAACAAGTTCAATGGGTTTAACTGAAACCCCTACTTATAATGTGTATCAAAGAACCAAGAATGAATGCTTATCCCAGGCTGAATAGTTAGTCCTGATTAGCAAGGGCAAGAAATCATTTGTACACCTAGGCTTCTGGAGCCAGGGGAAAGAACACATCACAGAGCCGGAAGACAGATACAGTTGGTAACAGGGGCTGCCTGTGGGTCTGTAGTTCCCAGAGGACTGCATCCTCTACCAAGTACAATGTGAATAGATAGTTTCTTCACTTGCCTCCTCTCTTCACAAGAGGACAAAGGTCTTGGGTCCTGCAGTCTGCAAAGCTGAGCCTTGAGAGTAGGGGGTCATAAACAAAGCAGAGAAGCTTGGAGAGGCACTCTGAGAAGCAGGGAGGAACCAGAGCAAGCATGCATCTTTTTAATGAGCTTACACTTTCTTTTAAGAGGATTGATTCTTTCCTTCTCTGTTTCCTCTGCCCGGTTCTGCCCACCTCAATCTCTAACTGCTTTTGTCTTTAGAGTGCCTTTTTCATAATGGCAAACTAATAACTTGTGACTTGAGTCCTTTGTTAAATGTAGGTGATTCTAAGAGAAAATGTTTAAAATGAAGTTGCTTGAGAGAAAATGAGCATATTGAAGACAATGCTGGATAATTCTCATAAATATAAGTTATAGCTGTATCTGCTAGTTTCCTTCTGTTACGACTAGAGTTCAGCAAGCATTGATTGCATTACTCTCCCACATCAGCCTTTTACAAGACTCCCTACGACTCGTAAACAAACTGGCAGACGTGTTCTCTTCTGTTATGGACCAATAGGGCACTGTGCTAAGCACATCATTGCCTTTGTGTCTCTTACTTGCTGTGTTATCTCTTTTACATAGGAGGAAACAAACTGAGGGAACAAACCAATAAATGCCCAAATCTGAAGTTTAAAACTTGTTCTATGGGTAGCTTCTAAGCCCCTTATTCATTCATTCATTCATTCATTCATTCATTTATCTATTTGACAAGTATTTACTGTATGTCTATATGTACTGCATACAGGAGACTTACAAACAACTAAGATGTGGGGGGAAGGGGTATTTCATGATTTCCTAAGAATTCGGTGTGCCTTGGGTCAAACTCATTGTCATCCAGTCTAGTCTCTTAGGAAAGTGAGAGATGAGTTCAGCTGCTGAGAATGAGATGGTAAATCACAAGGAGAAAAATGGAAGAGACGTGGTGTCTATGGGGAAGAGGTTCTAATTGAACAAAATAAAACTGAAAACACCGCTGTTCTACAGGCATGCTGTGGAGGTTTGGGTATGCATAGCTTTATCATCAGCCTGCAGGTATCTTCAGCAAAGATTCAGAGGTGTCATGAATGAGCTAACCCACATTACTGAGGATTTTGCCATATTTTGAAGTTATTAAGGACCTTTGTTTCAGGGTGAATCGTCCCCATCCAAAGTCACTGAACCTACATAAGATCACCCTGAGGGCATTCATACAAGTGTCTGAGTAGAACTCTAAAAAAGCAGCTAAGGATCTATAAAAACAGTAGAACTGAGGTCAGAGAAACAACATCTGTACTTCACTGAGACCCTGCATTTGTCCTGGGAGCACAGACCTTGGAACAGTATGTGTGCTATGTGACAATCTTAAGTGCATATTTGATGTGGTCTTGGGCAGGACCTGAGGTGAGTAACCTTTCGAGATGAGTTTTTTCTTTATGCTTTAATTCTCTGGTTGTTTATCCACTGAAGGTCAGTGAATTTCCCATAGTAACTCCAGGCCTTGTAAAATTACAGCCTTGGTAAGTGTAAACTGATAATGGTAGAGAAATCTGCTACGTTTGTGTGTCTACATTTCTGAGTCACTTTGCTAATTATACATTGCATCACTGAGGTGCTTTAAGAGGTGGCATGCAGAGAAATCAATGTGATGCCAAGAGAAGAAAGCAAATAAATTATATAGTATGCTAGTCCTGGAGAGGCTTTATTATCTTCTGGTTCTAAATAGACGAGAATTAAACTAGGCTTTTAGTTTTGTTCTAACTTTTTAAAAAATGTATTTATTCTTTAACAATTTCATACCAATGTATAATGCATTCTGGTCACACTCACTCTGAACCCTCTCTTGCCCTTTTGGCTTCCCTCATCCCTGCAAGTCCCCCAGCCACTTCCATGTCTTTATGGTTCCTTTTGCTAAATACAAGGTTGTCTGTAACAAACTTCTTGACATCTCAATGGTGTCTGCAACAAGCAACAGATGGTGGCATTGAAGATGAGAGCCTGTGTGGCTTTCTAGGAAGGATAAGGAGACTGGGTGTATCTCAGCAGCATAGCGTTTGCCTAACCTACTTGGGGCCCTAGATTCCATCTCTATGCTGCTCAAAATGAATTTAAGTTAAAAGGTTTAAAATAGACGGTGTGTCTGTTCTTGGGTCAGAAGGCAGCCTTAAAACCCTGTCTTCTTTAGCCCCTGCCTGGATCCTCCCAATTTCCTTCTCCTTTCTGTGTGACCCATTTTCTTCTCATAAAGTCATCCATTTGTAAAATATATAATCACCAAGATTTGTCCTTGAGGCATTTTTCTTTTGTTCTCTACTGTCATTTCCTAATCTGTTTGACATCATGACTTCGTATAATTCTGTGAATCACCACCCAAATATGTCCTTCTTACTCTCTCCTGAGTTCACCTTTTGCCTTCTAATCCCCCAAGTATCTTTTATTTCATCCCAACCCTTTGTTTTCCTGTAGTCTCTCTATCCTCTACACCAATGTTTCAGTTAACATTTATTCCAGGGGAAATTTCCATATAATGGAAGAAGAAATGATGTTCAAAGGCTGAGTTTGGTGGTTCATGCCTTAATCTCAAGCATAGCAGAGACTAGGGCAAAAATGTTGTGAATCCAAGGATAGCTTAGAGCACACAGTGAGGCCCCTCAAAGTAGCAACAACAACAATAATAATATCTAAAAAGAACATTTTCTACCTCCATCAAGAGTATATTAGGGAAAGAACCAAAGCAAGAGAAAGAAGTAGGAGAGTTTTAAAGAACTTTCTGATCTTTTTGGTGAAACAATTTGTGTAGAACTACACATTAGAAAGTACTCCACTTCCATTTTCATACTTCATATGGAAAAGCTTTGAAACAAATTCTCTTTATTCAGATAAAAATATCAACCTGATAATTACCTTTCATTTTCTAAATCTTTCATTGGCCCCTGAGCCCCTGACCCAAGCTGTGAAGTGGTGAGAGAAACAAGCAGGGACAAGAGGGTGACAAGCTGCCCTGGCATTTATGTATGAAGAAGAATGACAGGAACCCTAAACCCACTCAGGCCACCACCAGCGGTGCCACGGAAGAGAAAATCTGTAGTTGCACTGTAGCATCTAATGACTCGACTACTGTGGACATGCCTAGAGCTGTGTGAGTGGTGAAGTTTTATGCTAACTGGAAGAAGAGTGGTAATGGGGAGAGATGTACATGGCTTGCCTGGAGTCTGTGGCATTGTAATAAATTTAACTCCTGGGACAATCTCCCCCATCCTGTGCCTCCCACTTTTAGCCCGGTGACAATGGAGGATGTAATCAGGATTTACAAACATCCTAAGTTAAGAAGGTTGAGTAGGAAAACGGGAACATGAATGCCACAGAGAGCCAAATCCCAACTCTGCCTAGATGGTCGCTGGGGATGTATCAGGGGTGAAATGAAAGCATGACCAAAGCATGACAGCAATAAGAAGCCAGGTGTAGAGGGTGGAGTCTGAGGAAAGGAGCATGGGGACATGGGACCCTAAGGTCCCCATCAGCATGTTACAGAACATCCCGAGTCAGAGACTCATCCCTGATACCTTAGCTGGATTTCTCCAGCACCCAGTGTGTGCTCTTCATACTTAGAATTCAAGTCATGGAACTGGAATTGTTAGGAGATGCCTCACATATATCAGAAAGATAGTATAAAAGGATGGAGGAGATGTGGCCATTGCAGTCACATGGACCTGGTCTGAATGCAGGAGAGTCATCCATTCTGTGATTCTGCATGAGATGGGGAGTTTCCTGAATATGTAAAGTGGGAACCCCCCAAGGATTTGTAGAGGATAATTGAGATAATTTAACACTTACCTCCACTTGCACACTATGTATCTTATTTCTCTTTCTGGCCATTCCCACTGACATACAAAGTCCTAGAAGTTAAATATTTCTGACTGTTTTTTCCTTTTATGTTCCTCGTGCCTAGAAAAATTCCTGGAAAATCACTCACAAATGTCAAATAGTTGAAAACAATGGCTTTAGTGACAGAAAGCCAGAATGCAATGTTCAAGGAAGCCCATGTGGGCAATCACAACTGTTGATTATTCTAACAGTATTGGTGAGTCATTTTAGCATTTAGTCAATATCCTTATTAACCATCTTCCTGAAAAATGTCTTATTTTTTTCAGTGGAGAAAAAAATTTTCATATTTTTTACTACATTTATGCTGGGCTAGCAGAGAAGAAGAAACTAGCCCTTTACAAATTACCTGAAAATAAGCCACCCAGGTAGGTAATCAGGCGGGTTGTACCATGATAATGCTTTATCTTTTGATGTAATTTTAGATTTTTATCCCTCCTCTCATACTTTTTTCAGGTACTTACAAAATGACCACCTCAGAACAGTGCAGGATATGATGAACAATAGTTTCTATAAATCCCAGTATGAACTAATTGAACAATGTTTCAAAGTCATCGGTTTTACAATGGAGGTAAGTAACCAGAGACATTTGAACTGCTTTTGGAAGTATCTTTTTTAAAGTCTTATGGCGAGAATTAGCAAATTCACTGACTGGTTAATATATTCCAGGCACTATGCTCTGGGCTTTGTACAACAGTCACTCCCATTATATGCTTGTGGGATGGGTGTAGGTGTTTCCCTGTATGTGTGGGGTACATGCCCACATGTGTGCAGATGCATATAGAGGCCTGAAATCAAGACCAGGTGTCATTACTTGATGGTTCTCTATCTATGCTTTGAGACAGGGTCTCTCATTGAACCTGAAGCTAATCAGTTTGGCTATCCGAGCTGGGAGATGAACTTCAGGGATCCTCCTACCTCCAACCCCCACTGTGGCCCAAAGTGGGGTTATCAGTATACATTGCTGTGTCAGGATTTTGTATATATGGGTTCTGGGAATCTTTATTTGGGGTTCTCACGCTTGTAACAGGTACTCACCAACTGAATCATCTCCTTGGCCTCAATATAAAGTATTTTTATTATGTTTCTGATTCTTCCATGATAAGTACCTAGTTATATTTTTTTTGCTAATTCAAAAATTCTTTTTGCTGGGAAATCAACTCACATTTAAGCCATAGATGTAATTGCTGGATTTTCTTATGCTATTTAAATCTCTCCTGTATCTCTAGCTTTATTTTCTTTAGGTTTTTGTGTTTCAATATTTAAATATGTTTATATGTGCATACAAATTATTAGATTCCATTGTAGCATTTTCATTATGCATATTACTGTATTTTTGTTATTTGCCCACTTGTTGATCTCCTTTTCCCGACTGCCCTCTCACTGATTCCCTTCATTCCTCACTTCCTCTCTCCTCCTTTTTCCAAGCCTTCTATTCCATTACCCTCCCTTGAACCCTCACCTACTTTCATGTACTTTTCCCTCCCATCATAGCCCTCTTTCTATATTCATTTTTCACATAAGCACACATATGCACTTGCTTGTTTATATAAATTTAAATCTAAACCCTACATGTGAGAGAAGCCAGGTAATATTTTATCTTTCTGAGTCTAGCCTATTTTGTTTAGCATAATGACCATTCCATAGGTTTCAAATAATATATAAATTTCTTCTTTTGACAACTGTCTATTCAATTCATTAGACCATTTCTTGGTTGATTTATGTTTGGAGTTGAAGTTTTACAGTTACCAATGGAGTATAGATATTAATCCCAGTCTATTGTATAGCTGGCAATTTTTCTCCCTGTTTTGTAGGCTGTCTCATTTTATTTGCTGTACAGAACTTTTTAATATCATACAATCTGACGTGTCAATTTATGGGGTTACTTCCTGTATGAAACCAATGTGTTCACGGCATACTGACTTGGTGAATTTGGCTTGCAGGAATTTTACTGATTATGTTCATATCTAATAACATATTCTTGAGGAACTTAGTCTATAGTTTTCTTTTTGTTGTTGTGTGTATTTCCAGTTTGATATTAGCATAATTCTGGCTCCATGGCCTGATTTTGTCAGTATTCCTTCTGTTTCTCTTATGGAACAGTTTGAAAAGCAATGCTGCTAACTCTTCTTTAAAGGTTTGGCAAAATTTTGCAATGAATCCTTCTAGTGTGTACTTAGGGTTTTCTTTGCTGGGAGAACTTTTTATTATTGCTTCAATCTCTTTATTTGCTGTGGACCTACTTGTTTTGTTTATATCCTCGATTTACATTTTGTATGTCATATTGTACATGGGAGTTTGTCTTTTTCATTTAGTTTCTCCAAGTATTTTGGAATAAAATTTTCAAGGTATTACTTACTGATTCTCTGGATCTCATCGGAACCTATTGAAATCCCCCCATCCTTTTCATCAATAGTTGTTTAACTTGGAACAACTTTCTTTTGGCTAATTATCTTGGAGTTTACCATCTTATCTTTTTTCAAAGAACAAATTCACTGATTGTTTCTATATATTCAATGTATCTATATACATTCATTAATTCTGTCCTAATCGTTAATACCTCTTCACATTGACTTCTTTGGAATATCTGTTGTTCTTGTTTTTATAGTACCCTGGTATGCATTATTAAGTTATTTATTTGAGATCTATCTATTTTTATAGCTATACACTTTCTTAGAATTGCCTTAGCTGTAGTCTAAATGTTCTGGTAATTTTATTTTTATTTGACTATTTTTTTTATTTCTTCTCCTTGGTTTTTTTTTTTCAGTGATTCACTGGTCATTCAAGAATGTATTGTTCAGCTTCCATGCATTTATGTAGCTTCTCTTCCTAATTTTCCTAGTTTATCCCCATTGTAATATGATGAGGCATAAGAAGTTATTGGATTATTTCACATTTGTTAAGACTTGATTTATGAGTGATGCTGTGATCTGCTTTAGAGAGGATTTGATGGCTCCTGAGAAGCTTCTATCTGTTCAACTGAGAATTCTGTATTTATTTATCAATTCTGTGTCCTGGCTTATTCTTTTCACTGTTTTCTACCTGTCATTTTCTTCATGGTTTTCAAAATATTTTCCCTCTGACCCTTCCTCACTACATCAATTAGAGGCAGATTCTGGTCCCTAACATTATTTAGTGTATTTCCTCTACCAGCAAGGCAGAGGCGGAGGAATCGTAAGTTTGAAGCCAAGCAAGTCTGCATAATAAGACCCTGTCTCAAAAACAAAACAGGGCTGAGGAGGTTGCTCAACAGGTTAAGAACACTAAGTGTACAAGCATGAGAACCTGAGTTCAAATCTCCAGAACCCACATAAAAATCAAGGTGTAGTCATGTATACCTGTAATGCTAGCACTGTGAGGGGCAAAGACGGTGAGAATTTTCATCTGGTGAGACAGCCTGTAGTTCTTAAAGAGTCCACTGTGTGAAATTTAGTTTGCCTGTTTGCATCTCAGTCTGTAGAGGAAGAGGATGGAGAGGAGGTGGGCGGTGGTACTGGTGACAGTAGACAAAGCAGAATGGCTACATTCTTCTATGGAGACGGGAGAATTTGCTTGATTAATAGCATCCTTTGCCTGTTTGGTTCTGTGATATAAATGAAGAGGACAAGACTAAGACATGAAGAACTCATTTCGGGCCACATGTTATGTGCCTGTATATGCCATGAAGTCTAAAGTAGTCATGTTGAATTCTTTGCTGTTGGACTTAATTTGGGGAAACATGGTCTGAACTATGCATCTGAAGGAAGAGATAACTGGTAGCTGCCAGGAAATAATCTTTTTGTTACTAGTGAATAAATATGTTTGTGATGGCTGTCAGTCTAAGGGAGCAACTCTGACACACAGTTAATGCACTTCAGCCATATGTGGGTGATGTATGACCCCCATCCAGAGATGGAAAAAAACTATGGAGATTCCAATACTTAGCTGTTCAATAAATTTGGAACATACTGTTTGAAATAAAAGAATGATATTCACAGGTTGAAGCAAAACTGGCTTTATTTCCATGTTATTAAACGTTGCTCTACCAAGCAAAAGAAAATACTTTAATCAGTGCCCAGGGTATCAGAAGCGACCACTTGATTTTTTTCCCTATTTTTCTCATATGAGGGATTGAATTTATAGCCTGGACCATGTCAGGAAGACGCTGTACCACTGACCTACATATCCAACCCTTTTTTGTTGTTGTTAAAACAGGATCTCTAAGCTACTCAGGCTGTCCCTGAACTCCCTAAAGCCACCTGTAGCCCAGGCAGGTCCTAAACTTGTGGTCCTCCTGCCTCAGCCTGCTGGGATTACAGCCTACACCCCCAGGACAGGCTTGAATCTTTTGCTCTTATTCTTGTTCAAAAGACAAATCTTCTCCCCATCCCACCCATCCCTAGGTGTTTCATCTTACTATAAATCTTAGTTGGCTTCAGCAGAAATACAAATAAGACATTTGCTGTTCTGGGTGCTTTGTAGCCCTAGTTCCACCACTCTGATGACCCTTTATTGGATATAGTCACTTCTAGTCCTCTTTGTCAATGTTCAAGTTCAAATCCAACACACCCCTTTTCATCACTTCTCTAGAAAGTTTCTTACCAGCACCTCCCAAATCCAGAGATTTCAGTCTTATGAACAACAAGTTGGTTTAAATTGGTTTGCTTATATCTAAGTCACACTTAGAAGAGTCAGTGTTCACTGACATCCCTCTTGATGGCAGACAATATTGTATAACAATGAAATGAAGCCAGATTTGTGCTTGGATCAACCTGTGAATATCATTCATGCATAACAAACTTGTTTTCCAAATGTAGACATATTCAGAGTGTATCTAAATATGAGCCTTGAGTTAGAAGAGTCTAGAGCATCTGTTTCTGGTCCTGAAGTATCATTAGTGCTGGTCATTTTATGACAGCCATTGCTGTGGCTCAAGGTTCTCTCTTATCTCAGACTGACTCCAAGAGTTAAATGAGGACAGCCTGGTGTGGTTCAGAGTCTGTAGACTTGAACTTAGTTGGTGTTTATTTTTGTTTTTCCCAGTCCCGAATTGATTGCACTCCTTCTGGCTTTCTTGGGTCTGTTCTTTGTCAGTAGCTGAAAGAAGAGCTTCAATAAAGGGCCAACCAGCATGAGCTCAGCATCCTCTGAGCACAGCATCCCATCTTCACAGCTTTCTGCAGCACAGTGTCTGCAGCTCTGCTTCTCTGTCTTCTTCCCCCTCTTCTGTCATCCGTGTTGACAACACCCACAGTGTCCTTGTCCCTTAAACCTTCCCAGGGTTTACAGTTTACATGTGCATTTGGGATCCAGTACAAACCAAAGTAATGACAGACAAATCAAAGTTAGACCATCTCTAAAACTAACACAAATTAGAAAACTCCAAAATGTTTAAGCCATGCAATTTTCAAAGTCACTTAGCTATCAAACTTTTATAATAAATAGTGAGAGATTTGATGACTCAATTAGTTTCTAGAACATTGTTACCACACCATTTAGTTCACAATAAAGCAGGAACTTTTATTTTTCTTTGCATAAAATCATCTTTTATGTCTAAAGCAAAGATCCTTGTTTTCCCCTTTAACTTTTGTT